GGCAAGAGAAGAAATGTGTTTCCAATACCTTAACATGCCAGGTTCTCGCTAACTGATTTCAGACTCTATCTTACTTCATTCTATCGAGAGCCATGCAAAGCCAGTGTTATTCACCCTGTATGACTGCAGACAGGGGCATTCAAAGGAGGTAAGCGACTTGCTCAAGATCACAGCCCAGAGCAGTCTCACTTCCAAAAGAATATGGGTGTGATGGTGCACCTGTGAGCCCGTGTGCAGAAGCACACACGGGAAGGTGCTGACTCTGAGTGGTTCCCCAGGATGTACTGGCTGCAAAAGCATCTCCTATTTCACATATCCAAGGTCTGCACTATCTCAGAATTCAGGAAATAAGCTCCAAGAATGCCATCAAAGAAGACACCTTCAGTTCACCATCCCACCTTGTACTTCTTTTTTAACAGGTTGCCAACTAAATACAAAGTTCAGATGGGAAAATCTAGCTACATACCCTAGGGAAGTAACTAGATAGGCTCAGGTATTCGAGGTTACGGTCATGGGCAGCCTGATGCTCATGAGCGGTGGGTACAGAGAGTTACCATCAAGCAGAGTGAGCATCCTTCCAGAGGAGCTGGTGGGAGGCCTTAGAATTCTATGCTCCAACTTCTCCCCTTCAGTTCCTCCACATCCCAAATTTCACAACTGTCTTTTCCCTCCTTGCTTTCCTTAACATCCAGTTAAGACCAGTTGAGACTGGTCCTTTTCACAAAGCTTTAAAAACTGTTTTGCATTTTCCAAATATATTTATGCTGTGCATGATAAATTCTTTAGTAACATTAACTGATGAATGACTAAGGGCTGCGTGCCTTCCCCACACCTGTATCAATATCATGATGCAGGATAACCTGGCATGGCCTCCACACCACACAGCTTTTGCCAAGACTGCTTCCTACTCAGCTAGAAGTGATCAAATAATGCTGCATTTAAAAGCTGGGCAATTTTGTGGTCAATGAAAAGTGAGTTGGGCAACTCTAAAGGGAGAGGCAGCAACCTCCCAAACTGGCCTCTTCATCACTGATATCACGCTGCCCTCTTGAGAGTGTGGGCCCCCAACTCTTCTAAGCCACCTGCTGACTGCCTGGCTGACCTTAGTTCCACTCCATTCTTATCTGGACCACATTTCTTCCCCTGTGGGAACAGTGAGCACTCTCCCAAAAGAAAGTGAAGTTGCTCAGTCATGTCCGACTCTTTGTGACCCCCTGGACCGTAGCCTACCAGGCTCCTCCATCCATGGGATTCTCCAGGCAAGAATACTGGAGTGGGTTGCCATTGCCTTCTCCAGGAGATCTTCCTGACCCAGGGATTGAACCCAGGTCTCCCACATTGTAGGCAGATGCTTTACCATCTGAGCCACCAGGGAAGTCCCACTCTCCCAAAAGCTCCTGAGCAGACTGGAAGGAAGAGCTATGGGAACTAAGAGTGTGGGGAGCACATGGGTGAGGGGCTACCGCCCAGGTCCTGCCTTGTGGTCAGGCACTGGGCAGAGCCAAGCCGGCTGGTCCATGGGGCCCCAGTGACCAGCCTGGGTGAGACAGACATAAGCCAGCATCTCTGAGCGTGGATGTGACTCCAGAGAAGGTGTCCTGGGACCAGCCCTGACCTCCTGTTCCTCCTGGGTGGCCTGGGAAAAGGGCCATACCCCAGAGCCCCTGGGCATCCCGGGTGGCCCCAGCATCTTGCCCACAGCGCACCCCCACAGGCCACAGCCGCAGCTAAGAGGCGGGCATGTTCCGGCCGGGGACTTCCCTGACCTGGTGCTCATGAGGCAGGATGGCCCCTGTCCAGCAGACCAGACGCTCCGCCTGTCCGCCCTCCTCTCCTCACACATGGGGACAAGAACAGCCTCTCCGTCCTCTTGCTTCTGACAGGCAGCACTGAGTCTTTTCAGAGACGGATGCTCACTCTGTCTCTGCCATTCCACCTCCACTGCCTGCTCTGGTGCATCTCAACCACAAGTTTCTTCAGATTCCGCCGGCCTTCCATGATCTGGTCCCATTCACACGAGGCAGCTGACCCAAACTCACATAAATCCTCTGGGAGGGAAAATACCTTCCTCGTATGTCCAGAGCTCATTGCTTTGAAGTTATATACAGTTACAGAAACTTCCCCAAACCTGTTATGTCTGAGGACTTCTCTGAAATGTAAATAAAATGAAGATGCATAAACGTAAACCAATTAATACTTGAGCCCATGGTCTCTGAAGATCAAAAAAGGCAGCTTAGACAGCTTTTCAAGGTAAGACAGAGAAGGGAAACGCCACAGACCCCCACCTCCGCCCACTGTCAAAAGGCAGGGCTCCAAGGGTGGACAGCAAGATGGAGTGTGAGATTTACTTCCCCTGCCCCCATAAACAATTAAGGAACGACCTATTTTAATCATGCATCTCCTTCAAACAGGTATCAAACGTCTCTGGGGACAGACAGCTCAAGGAGCGGAGCCCACACACCTGTCCCTGCAGGCAATGCTCCTCATTAGGCCGTTCTGGAGATGTGAGATGCAGCAGGTTTAATTCAAACTCAACACCAGAATAAAATTTTATCGAACACATCCATGCCCACCTGTTTCTTTACCGTCTTATGGCTGCTTCTGCAATCAAATGGCGGTGTTGAGTAGTTGGGACAGAGACCACATGGCCTGCAAGGCCTGCAGTGTTTACTACTTGGTCCTTTCCAGAAACGGTTTGCCAACCCTTCTCTACATGATTCTTCAGACACAGCGAGGCTCTGAAATGCTCCCAACTGTGGGCACCAAACTCATCTACTGGGCATTATTCCTTCCCCCATTCCTCATGGTTGAGCCTGTGCTGAAAAACACACAACCAGAGCGAGATCTCCACGGGGCTTCTACCATGGTCCAGAGGGGCTAACACAATGTTACCGCCCAGCGGAACTGTCTTAAGCACACCAAGTACCAAAATCAAAGGTGGGGTGTGATGCGAACCTGGTTAGCCTACATTCCTGCTGCTTTCTTTTCTAGAAGAGCAGGACCACTCTGCCACCAAACAGGTCCACTTCAAGTCACCGGGCAGTCTCTGAACCACTGCCCTTCCTCTATAGGGTGTATTAGAAAGAGGAGTCCAATGTGCAGCTTACATGAATGGGATGAACAAGGCAGACAAAACCACAGAAGTATGAATTTAAAAATCTAAAGTCTTAGAGGGGCCCCCACCGCAGCTGGCACATGCTTAACGCAGCCTCTTTGCCTGTTCCTTTATCTAAAGCACAGCGCCCTCACATGGTGCTGAAGGGAAGGGCAGTCCTGCTGCAAACCTGGAGGACAGAAAGGAACTCTCACAGCTCAGAGCCATGTGTGAAAGGGCCCAGCACTCACTCCGGGAGGACTTTAAATCAGTGTTACCCAGATATCCACTCTCAGCTCCTTCGCAGATAGCGCCTCGCTGGAAACTTTACACCAAGAAGTATAAACTCTGACCTCTACAGAAACTCACTAAACCGCAGCAAATGGGATTCAGATGTTTCCATGTTCAGTACAGTGATGTGACCTAGACTTTAAACACTTTGGCAAAAACAGGAAAAATGATGTGGGCCTTCCAGTCCCTCCCAGAACATGATACAGGCTTGACCCGAGTCCTTCAGTGATCTGAGCCTTTCTCACCCTACTTAAGCCTCCTCACCCACAGCTCATACTCCCTGCCGCTGTTCCACACTAGCTCCTACCAGGCCCCTCCACAGTCCCTTTTCCTCATTTAACCAAAGATCCAAATTCTCCAGTCCAGCAAATGGAGATCACATTCTTATCGGAACTCAAAAAATCCTACAAGGGGAACTGGTAAAGGCCAAGTTAAGGGAATTACTACCTAAGTTCCCCTACACCGCTGGGAAGAGAGCAGTCTTACATAAAGACTCTGACCCTCAGGGTTTCTGACCTTTGTGGCAGATTCATGTCAACTTGTTGCACGCTATGTGGGTAAGGGTGGGAGAATTCTAGAAGGTGAAGTGGGGAAAGCAGTTTCCTGTGCCAGGAAAGGACAGACACAAAGGAGTATCAGAAACCACTTTCCCAGAAGATACAGAAGCATGTTCTGCGCCCATCTCAGGCTGTGCCGGGTGGGGGCAGGCCATCTGCCAGCCATCTGTGCCCCTTGGGGGCACGATGAGAAGCTGAGAAGTGTTGTTTGGGCACCAATGTAACCAAGTGAGCCAGTGTGCAAAGGCAGGGCAGAGGTGCCAAGGACTTCCTCCCTCCCTCTGAGCACTCCACAGGTGTGGCAACCGCAGGAGGGGTGGGGGGGGGGGTAAGGGCAGATTACTGCCACATCCAGAGAACTTCCAGGGACAGAGAGAGGGGCTTATCACCAAGGTCAGCATTTCTCAGACCTGGCTGAGGGTAGGTGCCAACAAATGCCTGCTTGCAGCGTAAGGTAAAACTATTAGGGACACCTTCCCGTTCCTCGCTCCCACGTTTTAACTAAGAAGAGTAGGTTAGCGGCCTGTCCGGGGACCCCTCCAAATATCCTTTCCTGGGTAAAGACTCAAAATTACAGAAAGCAGGCCAGTGCTTGACTCCATCCACAATTCAAGAACAGACGAACTGGACACATACAGATCGGTGTTCCCCGTGACACGCACACAGCACACCTGTGCAGAAGCGAACAGGGCTCTCTCTACATCTGGGCCAGGTGCACATCTCAGTCTAGGGGCCTGACGGACTTCATCTGGGCCGGACCTGTGCTCCCGGGCAGGCTGCGGCTATCTCGCTGTGCACCCCACGTCGGTGCTGGCCTGACGCAAACGCACCTCTGAATTTTCAGGACTGAAAGCGGTGGATAACGAGGTGACTCCCCTTTCTTGCCCTCTGCTCCTAGACCCTCTGGAAGGTTGGGAGTGCTCCCTCCTGCCAGCGGCAGAGCACACCGGAGGGAAGGCCCCACCGCCATCCCAGCCCTCCCCGGAGACCTCCCTTCACCCCCACCCTTGGCGCCCGGACAGATCGCCAGGCAGACCCGGAGGTGGCAAGGGCTGTACCAGGCCGCCGGCGGCGCCGCAGGCGCTGAGCGAGACGATGGAGCCGGGGTGGCCGAGCACGCTGCCGGAGTAGAAGCACAGCTCGGCTGACCGTCCGCGGCGCCCGCCTGCGCCAGCCTCCTCCACCTCGAAGCCGCCGGACAGGAAGCGCAGGTCGCGGCGCATCTGCAGGTACAGGTCGCGCCCGAAGGCCGGCAGGTGCAGCAGCAGGGCGCGCTCCCCGAGCCGGGCGCGCGGGGCTGCGGGGGGCGCGCGGGGCCGCCGGCGCCTGCGGGGCCCGGGGGCTCCGGGCAGGGGCGGCAGGTGCACGTCTTCCAGGCGCACCCGCCGCGGGAGCACCACCTCCACGTCGGCCGCCGCGTCGCCGACAGCTGCGGGGAGAGACGAGACGCGTCAGCGCGGCGGGGCCCGCCCTCCCGCCCGCCTGCCGCTCGCGGGGGCCAGCACCGGGCATCCAGCGCCAGCGCGGTCCCGAGACGGCGCCCTCGTCCCGTCCCTCGCCCGGGCACCTCCGCGCCGGCCAGCGCCGCCGCCCGGGCCCCGCGCCACTCCGGACGCGTCCGCCCGGGCCCCTCCGGGGACACGGCGCTCGGGGGAGCCGGACCCCCGGCGGCCGCCCGGAGCCAAGTCCTCCGGCCGCGGCCCGCGCCCCCTCGACCCCGCGGCTGTCCGCGGCCGGCAGCCGCGGCGCGGCCGCGCAAGCAGGCGGAGGCCGCCGTGGAGGGCAGGCGGAAGGTGGCCGCGGGAGGCGCCGGCGAAGGGGCGGCGGGAGCGGGGCGCTACCTGTGCCCGGGTCCAGTCCCCAGAGCAGCAGCAGCAGCAGGGGCAGGGCCAGGGGGGGCAGCAGGGCGCCGTCACACATGGTCCTCGGGAGCAGGCGCCCCCCGCGCGGCCGCGGCGGAGCAGGAGCGCGCGAGGCGGCGGCGCCAGCCGGAGTGAGGCTCCCCAGCCTTCGGAAAAAGTAATTAGCGCTGCGGACAAACCCAACGTGGTAAATCGCAAGCCCCGCCTTCTTCTCGGGAGGCGGGCAACGATTGGACTCCCGCTTTCTCCCGCCCCGCCTCCCCCTCGCCGATTGGCTGGAGAGGGCCTGACCCAGAGTGCGTAGTTAGGTTGTAAGCACTTTCTTACACGTGGTTTCTGGGCAGTTGCGGGAATGGGGCACCAGGTGGCGCAAGGGAGCCGCGTGAAGCTGCGCAATCCCGGACCACTCGAGGAAGACTCCTGACTGATGTTCAGTTTGTCCCCATATTTGGAACTCTGTTTCCCTGGAAGACAGGCCAGAAATTGTCTAGCTTTAAGGGACTTCATCCATAAAGGCATACTATCTTTGTATCTAAAGTAAAATGAGTTTTGGTTGTTTGTGGGAGAGCAGTTTCGTGCACAAGGTGTGCAACTTTGCACCTTAGAAGAAAAACTATGACAAACCTGTGGTTTTTCCAGTAGTCATGTACGACTGTGAGAGCTGGGCCATAAAGCAGGCTGAGAGCCAAAGAACTGATGCTTTCGGAACTGGAGAAGACGCTTAGAGTCCCTTAGATTGCGAGGAGATTCAACCAGTCCATCCTAAAGGAAATCAGTCCTGAATATTCATTGAAAGGACTGATGCTAAAGCTGAAGCTCCAATACTTTGGCCACCTGATGCGAAGAAGTGACTCATTTGAAAAGACCCTGATGCTGGGAAAGATTGAAGGCGGGAGAAGAAGAGGACGACAGAGGATGAAATGGTTGGATAGCATCACTGACTCAATGGACATGAGTTTGAACAAGGTCTGGGAGATACTGAAGGGCTGGAAAGCCTAGCGTGCTGCAGTTCATGGGGTCGCAAAGAGCTGGACACAACTGAGTGACTGAACAACTAGTTACATTCAAGGCAGTGGTGTTTATGCAAAATCTTCACACCTCCCCTTGTCTTTATCTTCACAGAAGTCAGTGTAACTGGTGAGATCACACCCTCTGACAGACTGAGAAACTGAGGGAGAAAGAGCTTAAGGAGCTTACTAACTTACCCAGTTTGTTCCTGTCAGAGCAAGAGCCGGAATTGTGGTCCAGACTTCCAGCCCAGTGCTGCTCACTCAAACAAGAGCCCTCCAACACAAGCAGTAAGGAATATTATCCAGTTTTACAGATGAGGAGACAGGCACAAAGTGGCAAAGCCTGGGCTTGAACCCAGGTCTTCCAGCAACAGAATGACTTCATTCTTTTCCTCAGAATATAACTGAGGTCTTCAGGAAAGTTGGCTCCTTTAGTTTCCTGAGGAGCATCTTGTAGAAACAAAACAGAATGAATTGATATGCAGCCATTCTCAGTTCTCTCTCCTTCTTTTCCCGTCCTACCCATTTTTGTTTTCTCAAAGCGGAGGGGCTACAGCACTTCTGTTGTACTCTGCGGAGGGCCTCTCAGAATCTAAAATGTGTCACAGGGATTACATGTCATCAGAAGGAATCCAGAGGTGTACACTATCCAGCTTTCATGACAATTAACCCTTAACCCTAGGAGTGGACTGTGTCACTGACTCTTAATAAAGCCCAGCACTCCCACCACTGCTAACTCATCACTTTGTATTTCCCCAGGGCGTGGCGGCTGGAATCCTCTCCTCTTTGTCCACTACACCCTCCACTGCTCCAGGGGCTGCCACTCATTGCTGGGCATCTGAAGCTTCTGGAAGTCTCCACACACATCCTGCTCATGGCCAGGTTTGGGGCTTTTTCTCTCCTTTGATAGCAGCCTCAGACAAATGAAAGTTCAGCATCATCTGGTGGAACAAGATATCCTGGTGAGCTTTTTGATGCAGTTTTGTTGGCCAAAGTCCTGCCATTGAAAACCAGGGAGTAGCAGCCCCATCGCCTTTCAGGAACAGTCCTGCTGTTGGAACCCACCTGAGTTTGCCATCATTAACCTATCAGATAGTCAGCAGTCTCCAGTCCTTTTGGCACCAGGGATCGGTTTCATGGAAGATAATTTTTCCACAGGCAGGATGGGGGGAGGGTGGAGGGAAGATGGTTTGGGGATGATTCTCATAAGGAGCATGCAACCTGTGTTCCTGGATGAGCAGTTCACAGGAGGGTTTGCGTTCCTACAAATGCCACCGCTGATCTGACAGGAGACAGAGATCAGGTGGTAACACGAGCGATGGGAGTGGTTGTCAACACAGATGATGCTTCCCTTGCTTGCCCACCTGACACTCATCTCCTGCTGTGTGGCCTAGTTCCTACCAGGTGGGGGGCCCCCGAGATAGGTGACCCTCAAATGTGTTAGTCTGTAGGGACATGGAACCTGAAGCAACAGCAAGGTGACATTTCATCTTTCAGCCTGTCTGAAACATAAGAACTTGGAAATATCTTTATTTCTCTTGGAAAAAAGATTGGAGAGGACACTCTCCTGCCCATGGATAGGGGTGTACATTGGTGCAGCCAATTTGAAGAACAAATAGACAAACTGTAGTCAAATTTAACATGTACACACCATACACCTCTGCTGTCTGCTCTGGTTAACTACTACAGACAAACTGATAATGTGTATAAGAATGCTCATCAGACCATGTTATTAAGAGCAAAACATTTTGCAAAAATCTTAACGTTAATCATTAGATAAATGTCTAATAGAACCCAGAAATAAACCCGTGCATATGTAATCAACTAATATTTGACAAGGAAGCAGAGAATACTCAAGGAGAAAAGATAGTCTCTTTAATATATGGTGGTGGGGAAACTAAGTCAGTTTGCAAGAAAAATGAACTTGGACCCCTGTCTGACACCACTCACAAAAAACAACTTGAAATAAATGTAAATTTTGAAATGGTAAAACTTGTAGAAGAAAACAGAGGAGAAAAGCTCCTTGGCATTGGTCTTAACAATTTCTTAAATGACAACTAAAGTGCAAGAAACAAAACAAAAATCAACACATGGCACTGTATCAAATCTCAAAGTTTCTGCAAAGCAAAGGACCCATCAACAAAATGAAAAGGCTACTTACAGAATGGGAGAAAATATTTACAGACCATATACCTGATAAGGGTTTATTATCCAAAATATATGGGATATTTATACAATTCACTAGAAAAAAATTGGCATCCAGTTGAAAAATGGGAAAAGACCCTGAATAGTTTTCTAAAGAAAATGTCGTACAAATGGCCAACAAGTACATGAAAAAATGTTCCAGACTAACCATCATGGAAATGTAAATCAAAACCACAATGAGATATCACCTCATACCTTTTAGGATCAGTCAGTTCAGTTCAGTCACTCGGTCCTGCCTTGACTCTTTGCGACCCCATGGACCAGAGAGCATGCCAGTCTTCCCTATCCATCACCAACTTCTGGAGCTCACCCAAACTCATGTCCATTGAGTCGGTGATGCCATCCAACCATCTCATCCTCTGTCATCACCTTCTCTTCCTGCCTTCAATCTTTCCCAGCATCAGGGTCTTTTCAAATGAGTCAGCTCTTCACATCAGGTGACCAAAGAATTGGAGTCTCAGCTTCAACATCAGTCCTTCCAATAAACACCCAGGACTGATCTCTTTTAGGATGGACTGGTAGGATATCCTTGCAGTTTGAGGGACTCTTAAGAGTCTTCTCCAACACCACCGTTCAAAAGCATCAATTCTTCAATGATCAGCTTTCTTTATACTCCAACTCTCACGTCCATACATGACTCCTAGAAAAACTATAGTCTTGACTAGACAGACCTTTGTTGACAAAGCAATGTCTCTGCTTTTAAATATGCTGTCTAGGTTGGTCATAACTTCCCTTGCAAGGAGCAAGCGTCTTTTAATTTCATGGCTGCAGTCACCATCTGCAGTGATTTTGGAGCCCCCAAAAATAAAGTCAGCCACTGTTTCCACTGTTACCCCATCTATTTGCCATGAAGTGATGGGATGGGTTGCCATGATCTTAGTTTTCTGAATGTTGAGCTTTGAGCCAACTTTTTCACTCTCCTCTTTCACTTTCATCAAGAGGCTTTTTAGATCCTCTTCACTTTCTGCCATAAGGGTGGTGTCTTCTGCATATCTGAGGTTATTGATATTTCTCCCAGCAATCTTGATTCCAGCTTGGGCTTCCTCCAGCCCAGCGTTTCTCATGATGTACTCTACGTATAAGTTAAATAAGCAGGGTGACAATATACAACCTTGATGTACTCCTTTTCCTATTTGGAACCAGTCTGTTTTTCCATGTCCAGTTCTAACTGTTGCTTCCTGACCTGCATACAGGTTTCTCCAGAGGCAGGTCAGATGTTCTGGTATTCCCATCTCCTTAAGAATTTTCCACAGTTTATTGTGATCCACACAGTCAAAGGCTTTGGCATAGTCAATAAAGCAGAAATAGATGTTTTTCTGGAACTCTCTTGCTTTTTTGATGATCCAGAGGATGTTGGCAATTTGATCTCTGGTTCCTCTGCCTTTTCCAAAACCAGCTTGAACATCTGGAAGTTCACGGTTCATGTATTGCTGAAGTCTGGCTTGGAGAATTTTAAGCATTACTTTACTAGTGTGTGAGATGAGTGAAATTATGAGGTAGTTTGAGCATTCTTTGGCATTGCCTTTCTTTGGGATTGGAATGAAAACTGACCTTTTCGAGTCCTGTGGACACTGCTGAGTTTTCCAAATTTGCTGACATATTGAGTGCAGCACTTTCACAGCATCATCTTTCAGGATTTGAAATAGCTCAACTGGAATTCCATCACCTCCACTAGCTCTGTTCATAGTGATGCTTCCTAAGGCCCACTTGGCTTCACATTCCAGGATGTCTGGCTCTAGGTGAGTGATCACACCATCGTGAATATCTGGGTTATAAAGATCTTTTTTGTACAGTTCTTCTGTGTATTCTTGCCACCTCTTCTTATTATCTTCTACTTCTGTTA